CTGCACAGCTCCATCCTCGAGGTTTAGCTTAGTTGCTAGCCAGTAACGCTGGAACCGCTGCCTCCACTCTTCGGGCGGGTGAAGTCAAAGTTGTCGGGAGGGTTAAACTTGGCCATATTCACCGCTTAACTTCTGACACCACGTTCTAAGTACGACCAAAGTAATAAATGACTCAATGTCCCTCAGCTGGAGAGGTGTTGTGTTTATTTCTCAGCCCGCCGAACTCTCACCAAAACTCCTCCCACTTCAGGCAAGTCTTAAAGGCATACACACTGTATTCACATGACAACCACTGACCTAATTGACCAAAACTCCCATTATTTCTCAGCATCAGAGGATCTTGGTTTACAGCTGTCAGTTGAGGGCAGGTGGGTGACACAAATTGATCTAAAAGGAGCTAAATCTAATCAAAGTTCATAAATGATGTAAGATTTAAACAAAAGGACAAAAAGATTTACTGAAATGACTGAAAAAGTGAGCAGGTTTTACTTCCTTCAGTGAGTTTCAAAAGGTGAAATCATACAGAAAAATGCTTCAGTTCAATTTATTACACATCAAATGAGTCACTGTTCTCTTCTTCAAAGGCTAAAAATATTTCATTTTGAATGTAACATGAAAGAAAGTTTAAGTGACAATTATTTGCACATACAAGGAAGAAAATACACGTATCAAATGTTTCTGCATCTGTCATAAAAAAAGGATTTTATGCTGCTGTAAAAACAAAAGCAACATGTAGTCCAGCAGAGATGTCTCTGAGGACCGAGTGATTCTCTTAACTTCTTCAGCTTTTGAAGACTCAGCTCAAATTTCGACATCACTCTCTTTGTCGTTGTCGTGGTCTCCATCATAGAACTCGTTTGCTGCTTCTGGCCTAAAGGACACACAACAATAAGTAAGTTAATGAAATCATGATCTGACGGTGAAGACTTGTAATTGAAGCAGCTACACAGCTGACCTTGTGTAGTTTTCCTCGGCTCCCCGCTCATCAGGGTCAGGCTCATCGTTACGCTCATAGCTCAGCATGTCAGATGGGACATCGTGGATCTGGACGCTGGGTGCGTGGTTCAACATCTTCAAGTTTTCAAAAACAGTCTGGCGGATCTGCTCCAGATACTGCATCGACATGTACACAGTGGGAAATGGTTAAAAACCACGTCTAACCTGGAAGACCCCGACTCCAGTAAGTCCAATAGAGAGCTCTTAGTGTTGATGCATTTACCTGTCTGGAGTTCTGGTTCTCTATCCGAGTGCTGACATCAGGATGTAGAGTGAAGTCTGGAGCAAAGTACTCAAAATACTCTGCGGAAGGGAGAAAAAGACATGTTGGGGAAAAAAAACTCGTATCCACACAACTCACAGTTCCACACATCCAGTGTAACTAAAGTTAGTCCTGATCTCAAGATAAAAATATAAATGCAGCTGATCTCGGATAACAGGGATTTGTTGTTGCAACTGAAAAAATGTAAAAAGCTTCTCAAAACATTTCGCTCATGCACACAAAGTGAGAGAGTGAAACATGGTGACCAATCAGCCTCTAATGCAGCGCTGCTTTTGACTGTAACTACTGTACACAGTGAAATTTGTCACTCCTAGCTCCATCTGAACTTCTAGGGATGTGGATCTTACAACCACTCAAGATTCTATTTGATTCTGACTCTCAGGGTGACGATTCAATTCAGAATCTTCATAAAAAAGAATCTCAAATTGGACAAGAATCCGTTTTTTCAGGCACCTCTAACGACTTCTTTGCAGAGCAAAGATCATGAGTCATGTTCTCACACTGTACGAGCCAATGTCCAGATGCGACCTGACTGCTCACTCTGTACATGTGGTAGCAACATGTCAGACCTGTGTTGTTGTTGTTGTTGATGTCTTTTTTTTTCTTCCCTCAACCCTTATTTGGAAAAAAATGAACAAACACAAACATTGTTATTGATGTCTGTTGTCCTTTGGGCTTGCCGTAGGAGGACATGCAGAGGTTTATGGGGGTTGGAGAAGAAAGGCAAAAGAAAGGACGTAAAAAATGTTTTGGAATCCATTTAATTTCATGTAAACCTGGCAAACACACTTCGTTGACAATCCTTGTGTGCAGAGAAAAGTGTAAAAATAAAAATAAATGATGTGAGTTGATATGAAAAGAGCTGGGGAGCCGTGATGACACATGTGCTGTGTGAGAAGTTCTGGTACAATAACCGGTTGAAGAAATTCTGGAAAACGTGCATCCCTAAATAAAATTAATATTAATAAATAATAAAGATTTAAACATAAAAATGAGAAATAAATGTAAGGAAAGGGAAAGAGAAAATTAATTGGAAAGGGGTAATCAGTGGATCCTGGGAAAGGCGGAATTGGTATAAAGAACTGAATAAGGAGGGGGTCGTGATGAAAAAGAAAAATGTGCCTAAAAGAGGCATCACCTGGCAGACCGAGAGAGCGGCTCTGAGGTGGTGATTGACAGCACAAGGGCTGCTACAAACGATCATTTTAACAGTGGACTAAT